ACCCCTCCTTGGGTTTCCGAGGCAGTATCACTATGGAAGTAGATTGCCCAACCTTCCTTCCGAGGAGTGGCTGGTGGGTTTGAACTGCCAGCCTTCTGGTCATCAGTCAAGTGCCTTAGGCACTACGCTACCAGAGCTCCTACAGTTCTTCATAGTATCCTGATATTATTCTTTTTATTTCAGTTGGTTCTGTTGTGATGTTGCCCATTTTGTTTCCTATTTATGTTATTTGTATTCTCTCCTTTTCCTTTGTTAAACTTGCCGCTGGTTTGTCACTTTTGTTAATCTTTTCAAAAAAACAACTTCTGGTCTTGATTTTTTCTATTGTCTTTCTATTTTCTGTTTCATTGATTTCTGCTTGAATCTTTTTTATGTCCTTTCTTCTGGTGACTGTAGGCTTTTCTTGCTAATCTTTTTCTCATTTTTGGAGATGTGGGGTTAAGGTGGTGGTTTTGGCTCTTTCTTCTTTTTTGATATGTGCATTTATTGCTATAAATTGGCCTCTGATCACTGCTTTTGCTGTGTCCCAAAGATTTTGATATGTTGTGTTTTCATTCTCATTTGATTCAAGAATTTTTTTTTATTTCATTTTTTATTTCTTCTCTTACCCAGTTTTTCTTAAGGAGGGTATTGTTCAGTTTCCACATGTTTGCTCTTTTTCCTTTGATCTTCTTATTTTTTTATTTCTAATTTGATAGCATTGTGATCTGAGAAGATACTTTGCAGTATTTCATTGTTTTAAAATTTATTAAGGCTTGCTTTATGGCCTAACATATGGTCTAAGATGAAGAATATTCCATGTGCACTGGAAAAGAATGTATATCGTGCTGTTGTTGGGTGAAGTGCTCTGTAGATATCTGTAAGGTCAAGTTGGTGGATTGTGTTGGTTAGTTTTTTTGTGTCTTTGTTGAGTTTCTTTCCAGTTGTTCTATCTTTCATTGAAAGTGGTGTATTAAAATCTTCCACTATGACTGTGGAGTCATCTATTTGCCTTTTCAACTCTTCTAAAGTCTGATTTATATATTTTGGGGCTCTTTCATTGAGTCCATAGATATTTATTATGGTTATATCTTCTCGTTCAATTGATTCTTTAATTATTATATAATGTCCTTCCTTGTCTTGTATGGTGGTTTTTGTCTTAAAGTCAATTTGATCAGAAATTAATATTGCCAACTCCTGCTCTTTTTTGGTTGCCATTTGCTTGAAATACATCTTCCAACCTTTGATGTTCAGTCTATTTTTGTCTTTGTCTCTAACATGTGTCTCTTGTAGACAGTATATTGATGGGTTATGTTTTCTTATCCAGGCTGCAACTATCCATCTATTGATTGGTGCATTTAACCCATTAACATTCAGTGCAAATATTGACTTGTATGGCATAGTGTCAGGGTATTTGACTGCTAACCAGAAGGCTGGTGATTCAAACTCACCAGCACTCCTCAGAAGGAAGGATGGGCAATCTACTTCCGTAGTGATACCGCCTCAGAAACCCAAGGAGGCATCACTATGAATCAGACCCAACTTGGCAGCAGTGAGTTTGAGTTTTTTTTTTTGTTGTTGTTGTTGTTTTTATGAATTGGTTGCTGTCATTTTGTTATGTGTTTTATCATAGTGTTCCTGGTTTCTTTGTTTCATGTAATTTTCTGTACTGAGCTCATTATGTTTATGAATAGTGTTATGATATCCATTGTTGCTATGTTTTAGTATTTGCTAAATATTTGTGCTTGTCCTCTTTTGTATTGTAACGTAATTGTTTATCATTTTTCTTTGAGGTTACCCTGTGATTTATGATTTTTTCCCAAAGTTTAGAACAGTCCATTCTATCTTGCAACTCTCTTGACTTCCTTACCATTTAGAAGTTCTGTAACTACACTTTTTCACCTTTTTTTGGTTTGTAGTTGTCCTCATTTGCTAATTGATATCTCTGGTTCCCTGTTTACAATCTTGTAAGCTTATTTTACTTTGGATATTTCCATAGCTGTGTTGGTTTCTGGATTATGTCATTTTATGTATTAATGGTCAGTTGTTGTTTGCTATTATGGTTCCCTGTTCAAAGGACTCCCTTTAGTATCTCTTGTAAGGTTAGTCTGGTTTTAACAATTTTTTGTAATTTCTGATTATTTGGAAATGTCTTAATTTTGCCATCATATTTGAGGGACAATTTTGCTGGGTATATAATTCTTGGTTGGAAATTTTTCTCTTTCAGGGTTTTATATATACCATTCCATTGTCCTCTCACTTGCATGGTTTCTGCTGAGACATCAGAGCTTAGTCTTATTGGTTGTCCTTTGTAAGTAACTTTTTGTTTTTCCTGTGCTGCTTTCAGGATTCTTTCTTTATCTTTGGTTTTGGTGAGTTTGATGATGATGTGTCTTGGTGATTTGCTTTTGAGGTCTATCCTGTTTGGGATTCACTGGACTTCCTGAATGGATATATTGTTATCTTTCTTCATATCAGGGAAATTCTCTTCCAAGAAATCATGGACAATTTTCTCAGTGGTTTTGCTTTTCTCTTCATGTTCTGGGATTCCAAAGTAATCATATTAACTTTAACTTTTCAGTTGTAGTTGATCATAAAGTCTTACTTTACAAGGTAATTGCTATTGTAAATGGAGGGTAGGTCATTAAAAGTCTTGTTTCCTAGATGTTATTTGATATACACTCTAAATTATGTTACCTCCAATATAGCATGCACTTTGAACTTATAAGTAGAAAACCTAGCTTCAGAAAGCATTATTTAAATTCTTGAAATAAATGTGTTTGAAACTGTAGTCTGAGACAGAGTAGGTGTGCTTATTATTAACTCAGCTGAATTTCAGGAGAAGATCTAAGGAGTTTATTGAAAGGGAAGCTAGAATGGCTGGGCATTAGATGTGATCTCTTGAACTTTAAACCTCCACATCACAGTATGGAATTGGCACTAAGATAAGAAATAGAATAAATTCTCTGCTAAGCATAGAACTGAATCACTGCTTGCCTAGACACTGACACAACAGAAGATCATGGCATTTGATGGCACTTGGAAAGTTGACCGGAGTGAGAACTATGACAAGTTCATGGAAAAACTGGGTAAGAACTTTATTTTTCAGTGTCTGGTTACTTGATTTCCCACAGACATTCTTTTTTCTAATTCCCTCTAAACCTCTGGGCTTGGAGAATAGCACTTGGTCTGGCAGAAAGGATCTAAAATGTGATCATTTAGAGGAGTAAAAACCCTATCCCCACTTATCCTAGGAAAAATAATTTATTATCTGAGTGCTATTCCTTGCAGGGGGAGGGGGGGGCTCATTTATGTTTCATTCACTCTTTAACTGCTGATTTCACTTCCTGTATCATTGCTGATTGATATTTTTTTGGTGTAGAGTGAAAAAAAAGAAAATTAGAGTGTGTGGTGATGACTGCTAGATCTTTATTAAAACATTTAGATTGTATAAGATGGAAAAGCAAAGGAAATTAATTTTCAAATTCATAATTCTGGGTGTATTAGACCTAAACACTCTCTCTTCTGATTTCTAAAATTCTGGAAATAATCTCATGAAATTATATGTTTTCTTTGGGGATTTTCATTTAACTGATTTGTAAATCTATTTCAATTATCTGGCAATACAAATATTGTAGAAGAATGACAAACAAATTTCTATCATTTCAAAAAAAATAAAAGAAAGAAAGAAAATTTGCATCAATTTTATCTTGTATATCAGGGATTATAAATTCAAATTTAAAGACATTATATCCTGTCACAATAGTGAATTTGAGTGTAAAATTTGCCCATTTTCCTATTTTTGTGTCAGAAATACTAAAAAAGCAAAGGGATTATAAAATTAAAAAGTTCAAAGCCTTTATGGAAAGGAGAAAAAAAAATTGACATCAAGTCAATTCCAACTCATAGCAATTCTTTAATACAGAGTAGCACCCCGCAGGGTTTCCAAGGTTGTATATTTTTATGGAGGCAGACTACCTCATCTTTGGTGGGTTTGAACTGCTGACCTTTTTCTTTAACCACCAGAGCTCCTTACTGGAAAGCAAAAGGTTATTAAAAAAGAATATTATATATAGAGGATTAAAGTTATGTATTCTTATAAATGTATGAATATATTTTTTCAATCCTTCATTTGTCATTTCTGGAATTTGGTTGACTTAATACAGAAATAAAATGTTTGATAATCTTGTTAAAATTACGCAGCTCTAAGATTCTATAATTTCTGTATTTCATTCAAGTTCTGGAAAATTAATGGGAATCCATACCCTTGATCTGATTGAATTTAAACTTTTCTACAAAAGCTGTCTAAATGCTATTGTACAAAGGCACTGCTATCAGGTTTTCCTCTGCACCCTCAAAAAAAAAAAAAAAAAAATACAAGAGAACTTGGAAAAATAAACACTTTCTATAGCATTTTATTTGCAGTTTCCTGAATCTCTCTTTGCAGGTGTTAATGCTGTGAAAAGAAAGCTTGCCGCTCATGACAATTTGAAACTGATAATTACACAGGAAGGAAATAAATTCACCATCAAAGAATCAAGCACTTTCCGAAGCATTGAAATTGTGTTTGATCTTGATGTCAATTTTAATTACAGCTTGGCGGATGGAACTGAACTCAGTGTAAGAAATTTTTTATAACTGGTGCATTCTTTCTTTTAATACACAATACTAAAGCAATTTCTGTTTCATAACATTGGATAGTTTAATTAATGCAAGTCACCTTCATTTGTAAAGAAGCTATTGGGGTTTGTTCATGTTATATACTGCACAAGGTAGAAGAGTATTTAAATATTTTCATAACATTTGTGAACAGTTTGTATTGAACAATAAAAATGAGGAAAATATCCTTAGAATGACTGAGTATAGACTTTCATAAAGAAATCTAAAGCTCAATGTTTTCAACCTTACATACTTGACAGTAACCACAGCTTTTAGAGTTCAAAAATGCTCAGGAATTATTTCTAAATATTGGAGTCGTCTCAGTGTCACCAAAGGCTTAGAAACAATAGCAGCTTTGAACATTTATCCCTCTTATGCACATCTGAAGGCACTATTGTGGTGTAGAGCCTAAGGCATTTGACTGCCAACTAGAAGGTTGACAGTTTAAATCTCCCAGCCACTCCATGGAAAGAAGATGAGGCAATCTTCCATAAAGATTTACCACCTTGGAAACCCAGGGTGTGTGGGGTCGGTCACTATAAGTCAGAATCAACTTGATGGCAGTGGGTTTTTGGTTTTATGAATACTTGAGAAATTTCAAAATAGGTTAAAATACATCACAGGCTGTCAATAGGCCACATCTTTTTCTCTTTGAAAAACCATAAACCAAATCTGAAATATTTTAAACATTCCAAAAAGCAGAGAAAATAAAATACTCTCTTTAGTCGTACATAGTACAGTAGAAGAGAGATAAAACAACGACTTACTGGGGAATAAAAAATAGTACATATATAGGTAATGTATTTATGTAGGTATATGCATGTGTATAAATACATACTCTATCTATCAAGTTTAAATGAGGGTCTTCTTACAAAGCAATCTTCCATGGTCTCTTGGCATCTATTTGCTTTAGAAATATACACATACATATTTACCTTGTAGCTACAATTATTTCAATGTGATCTCAATCCCTAAATCAACTGCAACTTCCCAAACAACTTGAAACTTAAGAACTCTTTGAAAATAATATCGATATTTTAAAACATGTTGGGTCATTTACCTTTTCTTTGTTAGGTATACTCAGAGTACCTGACTTTTTGTCCTCCTGACACCTAAAATTACTGAGTTAGAAGCCTTAGTACGTGATAGGCATTTTATAGATATTGAAGTAATAGCCATTTAATAGTTAATAGATGTATTGAAATAATGAAATGAAGTAATAAATTAGTGAATGAATGAGTAACCAAATAGAAAGGTTTGATGCTACACTGTAGATCATTAGGAACATATCTTTCAATGTTTAAAACATAAAATTTTAGGGAATTATTGTTTTCAATTTTTTTTTAAATTTTTGCTTCCAAATTTTCATCATGTTTTCGATGACAATATAACTACTGAATATTTTATATCAATGGTGGTCATTCTACCACAATCACATGAATTAAAACAATCACAGAGTTGTTATCCTATCCTTGAAACTAATTTGAACAACAACTAAATTTGGGACACTGTTCTTAACATGAAATAATTAGAAAACAGCAGTCTTGCTCATCCGCCTTATAATTCAGCATACAGGAATTCCCAAGGAAGATGAGTATAATGGTTATCAGAGTAGGCACTGGAGCTCAAGAGCCTTGGTTCAACTCTGGCTGTGTGACTTTGGGTGAATTATTGTGTCTTAGTCTCATCTATAAAATGGAGATAATAATAAGCTTTATGGGTTATTGTGAAGACTAAATGAAGAAATGGAACTATAAAACTCAAAACAGTTCTTGACATCTCCTTAACTCTTACTATTTTTCTGTAGGGAACCTGGAGCCAAGAGGGAAACAAACTTGTTGGAAAATTCAAGAGAGTAGACAATGGACATGCCCTGAATACTGTCCGAGAAATTATAAATGGTGAGCTAGTCCAGGTGAGTTGTAAAAAGACTGTAACTATTTTTCAAAGACAAAAACAATTATGTAAAAGTTTTATTTTTGTGGTTGCTGAATTATATCTTCAGTATGAAGATAGTTATTACTTTTTTCTTAAATCTTACTCATTTAAAAAAAGTGGGTATTTTCTGATGCCTATGTAATGAAGAGAACTTACATATGTGTCAGAGATACAGATGCCTGTTTTTAACTGCAAGTGTGACTACAAACCAAAATACTTTTTAAATAGTTGTATCCAATATTTAAGGAACTCTGGTGGTGCAGTGCCTAAGGCATTTGACTACTAACCAGAAGTCTAGTGGTTCAAACCCACCAGCTACTACAGAAAAGATGATTGGGCCATCTACCTCCATAAAGATTTACTGCCCCAGAAACCCAGTGGGGGTTGCTTTGAGTCAGAATTGACTCAGGATCGGAGAGATACAATATTTACATAAAATGCTACTATCAAGTATGAGGATAACACACTACAAGTTTATTTGAAAGCTATAATAATGTTAATATTTTGCCTAACTTATCCTTAAATTTTAATGGCATATTCTTCAATGTTTGTTCACACCTTCCAGACTTATACATACGAAGGAGTAGAAGCCAAGAGGATCTTTAAAAAGCAGTGAACATTGTTCTTGAAGCACAGCCCAGAACATAAATGGATGGAAGATGTATATTGTGCTAGAACTGTTTTTCTTTCCCCATCAATTATATGGTTACTGACTGATTAGTTCTTTTATAATCATTGGCAAATGGCTTGCATTTCCAATCATGCCAAAACAAAAGTGAAAGTGAATTAGAATTGTTTTGCATTCCATAAACTGTGCATTTATTGTTGTTGTTGTTGTTGTTGTTGTTTGCCGTCGAGTCGGCCCCGACTCATAGCGACCCCTCCTTGGGTTTCCGAGGCAGTATCACTACGGAAGTAGGATTGCCCAACCTTCCTTCCGAGGAGTGGCTGGTGGGTTTGAACCGCCAGCCTTCTGGTGAGCAGTCAAGTGCCTTAGGCACTATGCTACCAGAGCTCCCGTGCATTTATTAGTGTTCTAAAAAAAAATTGTGATGTATTTTAAAACAGGTAAATATTGCTCCAAAATTTATTGTAAGTACCCTCTCCTTTAAAAAAAAATGTTTTCTGACTTAAGCATTGGTAGACATTTTTTCCTGCACATTTGGTAAACTAAAATCATGGGCTGCATGGGGTCTTCAAAATTTTGCACTGTCTATAAATATTTTCTTTGGTAATATTTATTATTATAAATAGAATGTGTGCTCAACCAGAAAACTGAGATATATAGAAATACAAATACAAAATAAATATTTCCATGAACCCATAATCGAGAGACAGCCACCATTCTGACTGTAATAAATATACTCCCAGTCCTCTTTTCTGGTGTAGATGTATACATTTCCCCATTCATATCACCTCGAATAACACAATAGGAAACAAGTGATATACTAAATTAAATAATTGTATCGTATTCTCCCATACTACCAGTGATTCCCAGGCTTGGTTGAAAATCAGGATCACCTGAGGAACTTTAAAAAATTTTTGTACTCTTACTCTCTACTGTTAACCTACTAAATCAGAATCTCTGAAAATAGAATCAGATATTTTAGAAAATCCTCAGGTGATTGTGATGCAGCCTGTCCACTATCCAGTCTTTGGAAACAATTAAGCCATCAGACACCAAAAATGTCACTTTAATTTTTTTTTTCTCTTTTTTAAATACATAAACAAATACACTGTCACTTACTAGGGCCCAAAAAGTTTCCTTTTTGTCCTGTTTCACAATTTACTATTTTATGTGCTTTAAGCAATTAAGTTTAATGAAAACCAAACCAAACTCACTGCCATCGAGTCAGATTCAACTCATAGTGACCCCTTCTTGTGTGTCTGAGGTGGTGTTACTATGGAAGTAGATTGCCCAACCTTTCTTCCAAGGCGTGGCTGGTGGGTTTGAACTGCCAGTTTTCTGGTTAATAGTCAAATACCTTAGGCACGATGCCACCAGAGTGTTCCTAAGTTTAATGAGGATGTATATTAAAGGCAGTCCCTGTGCAGTGCAAGTGCAATTAACTAAAATGTTGTTGGAGGTGTTAGTTCACCCAGATGAGCCTCAGAAGAAAGGCTTGGCAATCTACTTCTGAAAAATCAACCACCGAAATCCCTATGGAGCACAGTCTCCTTTGACACACACATGGTCACCATGAGTCAGAATTAACCAGATAGCAACTGGTAAATATTAGGGGATGAAGAGGGGAGGTCAATTTTTGCAGCATTTGCAACTTTCTGTATTTTTGTTCTGATAGATACTTTTTCATCCCGATGTAGATTATAGTTAACATTTATATTGTTGTTGTTGTTGTTATGTGCCGTCGAGTGGGACCCGACTCATAGCGACCCTTCCTTGGGTTTCCAAGGCAGTATCACTACATAAGTAGATAGTTGTTTTGTTTTGTTTTGTTTTTAAGTCAGGCACTGTTCCAAGTAGTAAACACACAACTGTGGGAAGAAAAGTGTTTGAGTACATGATTAAAAGGAATAGACAAAATAATATATAATCTTTTGCAAAAACAAAACCAAACACAGATACTATATTTTTCCTCATAAAAATTCTGCAGTGGTTCCCCATTTAGTTCAGAGAAATAGTAATTATTTAGATTTCACATGCTTTAAAATAAAGGTTCAAAGTATACTTTCACTTCTTTAATCTTACTTGCTCACATATCTTTGTGTAATAAGAAATAGGCAGGTACTAATAATCTCATTTGAAAGTTGAGAAACTAAGGCACAAAAAGTTTATTACCTTTTCTAATGTTGCACAGGGTTCATAATGAATACAGGAATGATACATAGTTCTTGACTTCCAGTCTAGTACATTATGATCTATGCTATTACTCAGCCTGTTATAAACAAAAATACCTTAAGAAAAATAGTCCTTTTAATTCCTTCATGGCACCCAAGAATAGCAAATGAGTTAGGTCAGACAGTAAAATAATGGAAAGTAAGTGATTAGACCCTTGTCTATTTCTAGCATCATGGCAGACTCACTGTTTTCTCAATTTGTATCATTCCAACTATTACATTTCCACTATTTGTTGGTATTGGAGAGTAATCTATGTGCTAAGTGACTGCCATTTCTACAATTCCTTTTGAGGAAAATTGACCTTGTCATGATGTCACCCTGATTGACCAGGAGAGGGTTCCAGAACCAAGAACAGCTAATCTAGCAGATGTTGGCCAGATTATGCCCACCAGCTGTGCAGAAGGCACACTAGCAATTAAGTGAACCTAGAACTCTTTTTAGGCAGTTTGAATTTGAAAAATACAGAGATGGTACTTGGTAAGAAGGAAAACAGGTTAAAGATGACAAAGAGAGCACATAGTAAGTAACAGTCATGGGTACATGGAACAATGAGCAAGTTGAAGCAATAGGGTAAAGAGCGAAATAGCCGGAGAGTTAGTCAGGAGCAACTGGAATACATGAAACTGAAATATTTTCCCATGAAATATGGCATCTGATGTTCACTTCAAATTAATCTTGCTTGGGGAAGAAGTGGGAAGTGGCATAGATGAAACAGGATTGATCACAAGTTGATAATTGTTGCAGCTGTTGAAAAGTGTCTGACACACACTAAGTTCATGTGCGTACTTAAGAGGAAGGTGGGAGTTTATTTTACCTTCTTCCTAGTTTTGTATATGTTTGAAATTTTCCATAGGAAAAATTAAATACACACACATACACTCCTCCAGAATCCAACCAGTTCCTGTCACTTCCACTGCTAATCACCTTGGTTTTAGCCAATATTACCTTTCTTCTAGATGACTATAACAACCCTCTGAAAAGCTTCCCAGCTTCTGTCTTCTCTATGCATCTCCCTAGTCTTATTTTCAATATAGCAGCCAGAAGATCCTTTAAAAATCGAATTTGGGTCCTGTCACTCATGGGCACAAAATTCTGCAGTGGTTTCCCATTTAGTTCAGAGAAAAAGCCAAAATCCTTACAATGGCATACTAGTTAACCAGTTGGTATTGAGTTGACTCCAGCTCATGGCGACCCCATATGCATCAGTGTACAACTGTGCTCCATAAGATTTTCAATGGCTTGTTTTTTTGAAGTAGATTGCCAGACTTTTGCATGGACTACAATTTCCAACTTTTTGGTTGACTGCTGAGGGTGTTAACCATTTGCACAATGCAGGGACTCCAAGACTCTACTACCTATCTGACCTCCCTCCTGTTTTTCATGGAATATATGGGCAGAAAGTGTTCCAAGCAGAAGAAACATACTGGAGTAAAGGCCCAAAGGCAGGCACAAGCCTGGGGAATTTGAAGAATATGGATGTTCTTGGGAGAGTATCCAAGACCATTCAGAGCTGACCAAAAACAAGATCAATGTTTAGGAAATATACATTAACTAGCTTTGCTAGAAACTGGGAATGATGTAGTGAAGAGAATATGGGTTTTAGAACTATACAGACTTGTTTAAACTCTTATCTTTCCACTTACTAATTAAAATTCAAGATATAAGCTTCAACTTTTCTTACCTAAAAAAATGAGAAAATAGTAATGGTTTTCTGAGATTGTTCTTAGTTAAGGAAATGTAAAACATCTAGCATGGCATGTACCACACAGTTGGTAATCAGTAAGTATAATACTTAGGAACCTTTCCCTTGTGAAGAAAATGGAGCAAAGTATGTATTGTATAAATTGGAAACCTCATTTCTCAAAATATCGCCAATCAAGTCCCTGTGGTAGAGAGTGTCTTGATCTGGTACATGAGAACTTGTAGTTCCAGTATGGTCTGTGACATAACCAGGTGGGGTCTTTGGGCAAATCACCATATCACTTTGGAACTTAATTCAATCGTCTTTTAAAATAAAGGGTGGGGACTAGATCATCTCTAAATTTCCTTACTAAAATTATATGATGTCTGAATAATATTCAGTGAGTCTTCCTTTCTGTTTAAGCAACACCTTTGGTGTGTGTCATAGGGTGTTGGAATCACAGAAGTTCAGGAATAGGCACAGATAGCTTTTAAGTTCCTAAGCAAAGCTGGCTTTGTGCTCATATAACCTGTATAGTCACATGATGCCCCACATTCAGAAGGGCCTTGTGATTGGCTTAATGCTCTGCTGTTGCTCTTTTAAAATCCTCAATGATTTTTGAACAAGGAATTCTGCATTTTCATTTCACACTGCCCACCCAGCATTGTTGCTGTCCAGTCCATTCTGACTCACAGTGACCCTATAAAGCAGAGTAGAACTACCTCATAAGTTTTCCAAGGTTGTAAATTTGTGTGTGTGTGTGTGTGTGTTTTGGGTGAAAGTTTACAAGCAATTTCATTTTCCATTCAAAAGTTCAAACAGATTTTTTCATGACATTGATCACAGTCCCCACAATGTAACAACTGTCTTTCCACTTCCTCCCTGTGGATACCTTCTCATGCAGCACAACAGGATCCAGATCCACAGACATCCTCAAATTTTCCCAGGATGGAGATATATATATATACAGTGAAAGCAGGCCACACCCCCAAGGAAACTCCCTTTCAAATGATTGGCTACTCAAAGCATATACATCAGATCTCATCATGGGAATGACCAAACCACAACTGCTTAA